TGCTCATTGACTTTCACAGGACAGATGAACTAATTTCGTGACAGACAGAGAAACACACACACACATACAGACAAACTTAGCGCTTTATTATAAGTAATGATACGTTATGATACACATAAATACATACTATATACACATATACAAACATATACATATATTTATACTTAGATACATACATTCAGACTTCCTGCTTCATATATAAATACATTCTTCAAGATAATTCCACTCTGCTTTTCATAAGTCTAATCAACTAATTCTTACTGATATGGACAGTGAAAGATGCAGGGAAATTAAGTGTTTTAGTAAGGCCATTTTTTTCATTTCAAAAAGGCAGAGGAAATTGCAGATATGCCTGGAGGATCGTTAACCAAATCATTTGTAATTAGCACATTGGCACGTGTTACATAGATCAGATGTATGGGGTCTTCAACAATTAACAAAGTAGTTCTCTCAGCTAGAAGCTATTATAGGCGCTTTCCTGCGGACGAGTTGATTGATCTTACTCTTTAGTGCCACTTCGGAAAAGAAAGGACGCGGGGCCATTTAATTCAAGCACTGGGCCTGCCTATAGTAACACGAAATGAACGGTCAAGTTAACCCGCTTTCATAACAAAACATGGAATAGATGATTCCAATTACAAACATAGGGAATGCTCTTATTTCAAATTTGCTTTAAGGATATACAAGAACAGTAGTGAAACAAGCACTGAGAGAGGGATAAGATCTATAAGGCAAGCGGAAAGCTTCACTCTTCATATATTATAAGAGCGAAGAAATTTCATAAGTTTTCTGACAAGTTGTTCTTTATGAGTTAGCGCCAATTTAAAACTAGCTAATGACTGGATCAATACAAGGACAGCTTCAATTAACAGCAGATAGCCTTTACCAAAGAAAGTTCAATATTCCTACAGAATAGATACAGTGACATATACAGCGAAGATTATTTATGAAATAAGAACACTTTGGTAAAAGAAGAATAATTGGAAACAGAAGCCTTATTGTTAGAATGGGAACTCATTAGCAAATATTGCTTTTGGTGCCAGTGACTTGAGCTCGCGAAGGAAGTCCAGAATATCAACAACTGTGAAACCTTTGTAAAAAGTTTCACCGCAGTCAATTATGACATTATAATGCACTGGGCCAGACGAGGAATGCCAACACCTTAAAAACAAATAGTGAGCTTGAAATTTTGATGTTGCTAGACTAGCAAGAATATCATGGCACACACCTTCGTAAATCGCATCCCCACCAGCACGGGCTCAACGACATTCCCCATCCTTTGACCTTGAAAAGCTGTTCGGATAAATTTTGCTCAACATAGTATACTCCTTTGATCGCTGATGTTTTGATTTTCTGAAAAAGAGATAAATTGAAATAACAGCTGTAGTCAAAAAGAACTGTAGTCTGTTGAACCCTGTAAAACTTCTCTACAACCTCAACTCAACAGACCTATGAGGACCTTGAATGCTGGCCTCTAAAACATAAGTCCATTAACTGTAAGGATGGGTGATTTTCGCATACATTTGTAAAGGGTCCAACAGGCCACAATAGTACTTGAAATCACTTAAAACAGAGCATCTTTCTTACCTTTGCAGTTCCAATAGGGAAATAATAACATTTGATGGATAGGTAATCGGGTGTAAGTTCACACCATTTGTCCTCGAACAGTACTTTCGTCATATGAAAAACTACATCGAAAAAATAAAATTAAGAAAGGCAAATCGATCACGCAGTGGTTAGACGAGTTTCCATAGAATACATACAGCAGAGTTTAGATCAATTTAGACAGGTTATTATTTTATAATCAACACTATAGTTGTTAAGTAGAACTAATCATAAAAGAAAAATAGAAAGACTAAATTGCAGAAACAAACTGCAACAAAAAAGGAGGGGATTCTGAACTTAATTAGCAGCCTGCTAGAGCTGTACAGGAACCAAGCGTGACTCTGTGCGCAATAACGAAATTGATTTTTCAGCGAAACAAACCCGTTTTAATGTTTTAATTTGTTCTGAAGTTATCTTCAAATTCTGAGGTGCAGATAAGCAAATCAACATGGATTGGATGTAAGGTGGAACAACAACATTCAATTGAATTGTCCGCAGAGGAGTGGACACGCATTGTTATCGAATCACAGAGGGTGCAGTAAGCTTACATCACTGAGCCGTCAATGAGTATCACGTGTGGCAAACGGCCACTAGTCTGTTAGTCATCTGTTTACATATTACATAACCGCGGAAACGCAAAACGTCATAAATGAAAAAAATTGAGAAACCGAAAAACTCGCTGTTTTACTAACAGTTTAGGCTAATATATATATA